CCTGCAATGCGGCTGCCGTAGGCCACTCCCACGGCACAGAAGCTGTTGTTGGGCACCGCCGCGATCTCGCCCGCGCACCGCGTGCCGTGGTGATTGTCGTTCTCCACATCTGGGTGAGGCATGGGGTCTGGGTCATTCGAGTTGAGATCATAGCTGCCCTCTGGGCTCTGAAATATTGGGGGGCGTGGAATGTAATCATCCAATGGTAGAAGAGGGGAGGGCCTGGAGCTCGTGGAGAGAGACCCGGGTGTCTGATACAAGATGCAGGAGCGAGGGGCGTGGGGGGCAGGGAGCAGGTGCGCAGCACGAAAGAGAAGTGCCACCGCTCCCAGGAGACCCTTCTCTTAGCTACTAGAGGACCGCGCCCAGGACACTGCTGCGGCTCAGAAAACAGGGACTGGAATGGACAGTCCCTCCATGATTGCCAGGGCAGGGAGGGGCAGAAGGGGCCAGGGCAGCCCCCTGATGCTAGCAAGTCTGGAACGCTGGCGGGGACACTGGGCAGTGGGACAGGGAGGGGAAAGGCCTCTGTCTCTCCTTCCGTTTGGCTCAAAAATCTCTGGGGAAGGGGCAAGCTGGCAGCATTACCAAGGAGACAGAGAGCAAGCAAGCACCTGGAAAAGAAGGTCTGTGTGTCCCGTCTCCCCCCTTGCCACTCACGTAGTTGGGGGCAATGTCCTGGCTGGTGTGCTCCACCCCGTCGTCCACTACTACAACGGTCACCCCGCGCCCGGTCACATTGCGCTCCCATACACCTGTCACATTGATGTCCCTGCCGGGGCTGCGCCGGTTGTTCTGAAGGAGAGAGAGGGTCAGGGACAGTTTCCAAGGACACACAACACAGGGAGATGCAGCCCTCCCACCCCTGGCCGCCCCAGGAGATGGTAGGCCAAGGAACAGAGGTGGGAACAGGATCTAGGAAGGGGGCACAGAGGAGAGCTTTGGTTCCCTGCCAAGTTCGGTGTCGCTCACTGGTGATACAAGGTGAAAGGGAGGCAGAGGGAAAGGTAGGGTAACAATGGCTGCCAGCAATGTTCGCAGTGAACATTTGAACAGCACAGCGTTTACTGCGTGTCTGACACTGCCCTCAGGGCTTGACATGTCTCAGTGCGTCTTTCCTACCCATGACTCTGCCAGCTAGGTTCTATTACACCCTCGTTGCACATATGGGAATACTGAGGCCCAGAGAGTTTGAGCTGCTTGTCCCCAAGTCAAACGCAAACCATCCAACCCAATGCCATCAAGTTGATTCCGGCTTATCACGGCCTTCTATAGGGTCACTGAGCCTGTAACCCTTGGTGGGAGTAGACAGCGTCATCTTTCTCCATCGGAGAGACTGGTGGGCTTGAACCCCTGACCCTGCAGTCAGCAGCCCAATGCCTAACATACAGCACCACCAGAGCTGCTGAAGGCACATGCTAGTCAATGGCAGAGCTAGAGTTTGAGCCCAGGCTCCTCGGCTCTGGCTCCCTAGCAGAGAGTATGGGGGTGGGGGGGTGGGGCGCGAGGCCAAGAGCCCGACAGGCCACCCAAAGGCCACAGGCAGCATGTGGGGTGACTGAAGAGCCAGTGAGTCAAAAGCCCACAGAAGCCTGGGGGGAGGGGCTCCCTCTCTAGCTGGTAAGCACCTGGTTTTTTTGGAGCTGGGAAAGGCAACACCGAAGGAGAGTGCGGTATACAGCTTGACGAGGGAGATGGTGACTCTGGGGGGTTGCCCATAGGAGACAAAGGGTCTGTTGGTGATTGCTGTGGCATATGTAATTCTGAAACAACAGCAAAAATAACCCAACCCCAAGGTGCCACTCATATCCATGCATGTATGTCGGCATGTGTGGACACATGCCTCCTGCTGGGTTCAGTTTGACTTCTAATAGGGCAGGACAGCACTGCTCCCTACAGTTTCTAAGTCTGTACAGTTTTATGGAAGAGGACTACCTCCTCTTTCTTCCTCAGAACAGCTGCAGGACTCAAATCACAGACCTTCGGTTAGCAGCTCAATGCTTAGCCTGCAGTGTGGGACACAGAAAGGTTATTCCCCAGGCAGGCTGTCCGCCCACATTAGATGCCAAACCTAAGGTGCTGCTTGCATGCTTGGTGGCTATACACTTGGAGGTCAACTGCTTAGAGGTTATCTTCCTGAGGCTTATCAGCCATCTAGAGCAATCAGACCCTATAGTCTGTCCCACCCTAGGTGGGGGCCCACTCCCTTCTAATAAGGATAATGGATTGTTCCCCTGAAGGAGAACCCAAAGACAAAGTCAAGGCAACTTAAGGAGGATCAAGGTTCTGCTGCCTTCTTGACTTTAGAGCCCGCAGTGCCTGTCCTTCCTATTGCACCTGTGTCTGTGGAACAACCCCTTCTGGTTATGATGTAATCAGGGGGGCTTGCACGTCCCCTAAGTGTCTATCAGCCATGATTGGAAATATATTCACTCTCTCTGCGCAGGCCTGGCTGTTGAGATCATGGCCCTTCCAGAGGTGAGTAGTTGCACATCTTATCTTGTCTGATGTCTCATTAATTTTACTCCTCAATTACACAACCGCCCCTTGGACCCATTCGATTGGGGGGAGGCTGGTGCCCCACACTACTGCACCACTAGGCAGAGGTATGTGCATATAAACTTGAATTCCAATCACAGTGCTGGGGCAGACTACTGAAAGTACCGTGGTCTGCCAAAAAACCAAACAGATCTGCCTCAGAAGAAGTACAGGCAGAATGCTCCTTAACAGGCAGCATGGGGAGACAGCATCTCCTATACTTTGGACATGTATCAAGGGGAACCCATCCTGGGTGGAACCCTAAGAACGGTAGTGAGGATGGCGCCGGAGCGGGCAGGGTAGGGTAGCCAGAGTCGGAATCGACTTGACTGCACCAAACAATAATAACTAATAAGACTAAGTGTATCGATGAGAGATCTTGTCTGCAGCCGTCCCCTGATCACAGAGACCTATAAGCCCATGCATGTCTGAACTGGGACACTAGTGGCATTACTTTTGACTTACCTGAGGTATGCACCCAGGTAGGTGGATGCATACATCTAAAACAGCACATCGGAGGCAGTTAAAGATACTTCTTAGACATCTACAAATACCTCATGGGATGGGCTTTCTGAATTCGCAGTATTTGGGCCATAGTCCTGTAGCACATCTCTGTCAGTTGGCGTAATGCAGTCCATGTTCTTAGAGCTAACCATTGGTCTGTACTTGTCCAGGGTGAAAAAAAGCAGGAAGGAGACAAGAGACTCAAAGAAGAAACGCGTCTACAGGACAATAGGCTGTTCCGAGGCCAGAACCAGGTGGCGCCTGGCTCACACTACTGAATGTTCTCATCAGGGCCACGCGAGACGGGAGGAACACGTTGACTGGAGCCTCCAACCCGTCAATCAACTGGCTGAGGCAGGAGCGCTTTTCTAAGCTGCTGTCCTCAGACACTCTTCACGTTTTGAACCAAAACAAACTGTTGAGGCACCGTGCAGCTAAATAACGAACTGGCTCCAAAATAAAATCCCCGTAAGCACCGTGCTCCTTTAAAAAGAATCAGCAATACGAGAATAGAAGGAGGAAATGGAACGTGTAGCTAATGGCCTCGATCCACAACCAACCCATTTACCGTGAGCCCAGGAGAAATAAGAAATAATCACCTTCACTGAACATTTTGACCCAAGATTTCATATTAGAGTCCTGATCAAAAAGGGGGAAATGTGGAACAGAGCTTCAAAATCTACTGAACTCCAGGCTTTCTAGAGCCAAGGAGCTTGGATGGATTCCTGAAACTAGTGCCCTGGGACAAACCTTATACCTCAAATAGCCCTTGAAGTCTTCTTAAAGCCAAATAATAGGTTAACATAAAGAATATACATATATATATTCCTTGAGCATTCTGCATGCTTTTTAAAGAATGATCTCTATGGGACTGAATTGACAACAGCACCTCCGAAGATTGGCAGGAAACTTCAGCAGCAACGAGTGTGTGTTAATGGAGGAGAAGCACCCAGTAAGGGATGGTGAAGGGACTTGCACAGCTCGCTGAAGGCCATCACTGGGACTGCCGGTCCCTGAATAAACTGGTGAATTGTTGTGACTTGGTGTAGTCTCCACAACAACAAAAGACATAGGACATAAAAACAAATAGACAAACAAATAAGACAGCACCTATCTAAGACCGAAAGGAGCCCAAGTGGTGCTGTGGGTTGGGCTCTGGGCTCCTAACTCCAAGGTCGGCAGTTCAAACCCACCAGCTCCTCTAAAGGAGTGAAGATGAGGCTGTCTGCTCCTGTGAGGATTCACGATCTTGGAAACCCTTATGTGGGGTCCCTATGAGTCAGAATCAACTCCATGGCAGTGGGGCCTTGTTTGTTTTTAAAATGAGACCATTGCAGTGAAGCAAGGCTGTAAAACAGAGATGAGATTGTAAAGGGGCAGAGAAACGAGCTTAATGGCAATGGAAGCCCCAGGATGGGGATAACAAGAATGTGCGTGCACCGTGAAGCACACAGCCAATGCCAATGAACAACATGGGTAGAAACTACTGAATGGGGTCCGAAATGGCTCTGTAAACCTTCACCCAAACCCAATTAAATCCCACCGAAGAACTGGACACCCATAACTTCCCTGTTGGAAAGGAAACACTGCGACCCGAAGCACTGGACTTACCAGGTGCCACTGCTGTGGGTACTTGGGGTCATTGAAGTGGACGCTGCGTTTGGCTCGCTTTAACAGCCGCTGTTCCGAATGCCAGTGCACGGCTTCATGCCCGGCCAGCACAGCCTCTGCCTGCTGCCTAATGGCCTCTCCCTGCTGGTCCTGCTTGGGCCCAGCTGGCTGGACAAAAAGGTAGTGTCCGTGGAGCTCCCCAATGCGCCCAGCGTTCACAAGCCCTGCAGCCTGGGCCAAGGCCTCTGCTTGCTGTTCCAGAGTCTCTTCCTTTCCCTCACCTTCTGGACTACGCAGATGCACCGCCCAGCTGAGCCCCCCAGGACTCAGGGCTGCAGGCCCTTCTGTCCCTGTCAGGCCCATGACCCAGGGAACCAGCAAGAAGAGTCCGGCTAATTGCAGCCAGGGGCAGGAGGGCAGGCCCAGGGGGGCTTCCAAGTGTGGCACTTCAGGCCTCCCCTTCGGCATCAGAGCAATAAGCTGCAGACAAAGAGAAAAGGTATCAGAGATAAAAGAGCGAATACCTGCTGGGATCTGACAGGAAGACTTAGAAACTGCTAATCTACCCTTCTGAATTACTTGATTTTCTCTCTCTCTCTCTTTTCATGCTTATCCCGTCCTAGTAAGACTCAGCCCTCCCAGGTGACTTTAGGAGTATGAGCCAGTCCTTAGCCCAATGGGTGGCGCCCCCCCACCCCTCCCCGGGGCCTGGTGGCTCAACCCCAGTATAAGCAGAGCTGCGGCTGCTAGCAGGCCTCAAGCTACTCCTTCCCATTCTTGCCACCAAAAAAGATTCAAAACACATGCTCCACTACAAACTACTGGCCGAATCGAGCATCTCCTTTAGGACACCCTCTCCCTCAAAGCTTTCCCCGTGGACTTCTAACTCCCCCTGCTGGATCCTGTTCCCACCTGGAGTCTGTGTGAGACTGAGCTCCTGGTCTGGCTAACCACCTCACGCTCATTTTGTGCAAGTGGAGAAAAGGCATCCCTGTCACCGTGAGGCGTGAGGGCTCCGAACGCTGAGCGCAGCCTGCAGACCTGTGGACCCAGGAACAGAAGAAACCAGTCTTCCATCTACCCCGACAGACAAGCAGAACTTAGTCCTGAGCTCCAGGACCCGTGATCAAAGACCAAGCGTCATTGCCCAGGATTGAAAATAAGTGACAGACTTGGTACAGTGAGGTCAAGTCAGTATGAGTCCCAGAAATCCTACTTTGCGTCCTAACCACCATGCTCCCCCGTCCCCGCACCCTCCGCCCATGACTTCACTGCCATCACTCATAGGACAGGGTGGAATTGCCCCTGAGGGTTTCTGAGACGAACTCTTCAATGGAGTAGAAAGCCCATCTTTCTTTTCCAGAGCGGCTGGGGGCTTTTGCACTGTTGACCATGAGGTTAGCAGCCCAACATGCAACCACTACGCCACCAGGGCTCCTCCCTATGGCCTAGAAGAGGGTTTGAGGTCTTAACCAAACCCTTGCCTGAAAATACAAGCAGTACAGCTTCCTAGAATTCCAGGTGGTAACTTCCTGGTTTGTGTATTTTTGTCAGGAGGCCAAGGGAAGTCACCGAGGGCAAAAGGCCGAGGAAAGCTCCCAAATGTGCGTGAACCTGAACAGGCATGCTGTCCAGCGCGGAAGAAAAGGACTGGACAGCGGCACTGAAGAGCTAGCCCCCGAAACTAGATCCGCAGGTGCTTGGGAGGGAGCGCAGGGTCCAGACCTGGGACTGCCACCCTTGCTTTGATCAGGTTTTAGGAGTCCTCAGCCAAAAGCCAAGTGGTGGGCAGGGCACTTTGCCCTGGTGGGCAACCCTGGAGCAGGGGCAGGGGCAGCCTATGGAGTGGGCAGGGTATGTGTGTCCTTACTGGTGGTTGGGATCCCTTTAAAACCTCTGCTCTCTAAGCGTTACCACCAAGGGGGGTGTTTTATTGAGAACTAGGAATGGGAGAGATGTCACACCACGCTTTCCCTCCCCCAAACCACCCCACCTGTCATGGTCTCTTGGTCTCTTGGGCAGAGTCCCTCTCCAGCTCCCCTCTGCCTTCCAGCAACCTCAGGTGCCCCAGGAGATTCCAGTTTCTCCCCCTGTTCAATTGCCAGAGAGCAACCGGTCTAGACAGGTTCCTTCAGTCTCAGTGGGTCCCACCTTCGTTTTCTGGGAAGGCACGAGGAACCTGACCTCTTCCTTGTCTAGCTTTGGCACATACCACCCCTTTGACCCTTCAAGCTTCTGGAAATGGGACCTTACGCACCCTCAGAAAGCAACTCTCCACCTTGCCCAGCGGCTAGGCCTACCCTGACAAGCTTAGTTGCAAGAGGGGGCAGTAATTAATGACGGGCAGCCTGCAGGCCAACAGTCTGCTTCCAAACGACTGTCTTTTTTGCAGACTCCCCATCCCGTGCTCCTAGAAACCAGTCGCTGGTGCTCCTCGGCCCCGACCGCTCCTGCAAGGTGCCACTCTCCTGTGAGGGTCCCTTGCTATCCTGAATCCAAGACTCGGCTGCCCCGTCTCCCAGGGGTCCCCCGCCCCAGGACTGAAGGCGCCCTCTCGGCAGCTCCCTCACTCTCAAGCTCCTCCGTTCTGGGACACTCGCACTTCCAGCATCCAGCCTACACCTAGTTCCCAACTCACCCGCCCAGCCGCCGCCGCCGCCGCCTCCCTGCGGAAAAGGTGGCAACGCGAGCGCGGAAGAGGGCGAGTACATCGAGGTGATCTTCAGCCCAGCGATGACCCCAGCGGTGCCTTTTGCTGAGAGTGCCATTCGGTACGACGCGGAGACGGGTCGGATCTATGTGGTCGACCCCTTCTCCGAGTGCTGCATGAACATTTCGCTCTCCCCCAGCCGATGCTCCGAGCCGCCGCCCGTCGCTCGCTTGCTCCAGGACGAAGAGCCCCGGAGAAGACGGCCCAGAAGCCGCTCGCGA